CAAGGATATCCGACAGACTACCGGATTATCTGGCTTTCATGTACAGCAGTCAGAGGTCTATAGGACAATAATGGGTACACGTGGACTAGCATAATTTGGATGGTCCTGACCCCAGCACCTGCAGCTTGGGCGCGGAAACGATCTTCACCTTCACCTTGCCGCTCGGCAAACCAATCCCCACCAATGCTTCGAGGTTTGGGGCGTCATCAACAACGAGCTCTTTCAAGTAGCCGAAGTCACCGTACAGGCGTGCTAGGCTCTTAGACCGAAGGCAAATCTTGTCCAGTTCAATGATGTTGAGCTTCACGCACTCCAGGGAGTTGCAGTGGGATAGGATGGCCTGCAGGGAGTCCTAGGACACGTTCACACTAGACAGGTCGAGTATCTTGGGCTGTGTTTAGTTCGTTAAATTTGGGATTTTGATTACTGTAGCACTTTCGTTTTTATTTGACAAATATTGTTTAATTATGGACTAATTAGGCTCAAAACGTTCGTCTCGCGATGTCCAATCAAACTGTACAATTAATTTTTTTTTCGTCTATATTTAATACTCCATTCATATAGCATAAGATTCGATGTGATGACTATTATAATATTTTTTAGAAATTTTTTTGAAAACTAAACGCAGCCTCGAGGGCGGGGAGCCACGGCGCGGGCGCCGGCCAGGCATCCGAATAATGCACTTTAAGGGTTTCGAGGAAGGCGAGCTCGAGGAGGGACCCAGGGAGAGTCAGCATGGAGATTGCGTATAACATGTCGACGTCGATTTCCAGCACACCTTGACGCGCGAGGGCTCGGAACCAGCCGTCGACGATGCCCAGGCAACCGTCGAACCCCCACCCGTACATGGCGAACCGAAAACTCCGGATGCGGATGCGCGGCCGGGCGGCGAGGATGTCGGTGATCGCGCGGATGAACCAGCCGCCGCCGCGGACTCCCTCTCGGTGTGAACGGCTGGCATGCGTTGGAGTCCAAGAGGGATTGGTCGAACAGGCCACGCCATCGCGACAAGAGAACTAGCGTGCGCCCAGCGTCGCGGAGGGGGAGCAAGGAGAGGACGGACAGCAGGACGGCGTCTGGGAGATCGCTGATTCGATCCCACCCATCCCCGGTCGGCCGATCTGCGGTGCAAAACCCTATCACCGCAGCCGGACTCCAGGCGAGCGCATTTAGCCGCCCGTGGCCTGCCGCCGAATTCCTCCTCGTCGGTGTCCACGGCCCGCGAAGGCGGGGCTAACGCAGGCGGCGGGCCGTCGGAGTACGGGTTCGAGCAGCTCGACGAACATGGCGGCCAATCCCAGGCCATGATCTGACCCTGCCGCGATGAGATCGACGAGGGGGAAGAGGAAGGGCTCACCCAACTTCCCATTGTCTGCCCGTGGCCGCCAGTCGGTTTCCCTCGCGTACTGCGTACAGACGGAAAGAAGTTGAATGATGGGGGAAAAAATGGGGTGGGCGATGGATCGAACCACCGTGCGCCCCCATCGTCTGACGCGTGGCCAGGGAAAAGAAATCAACGTGCGTCGTGCAACCTCCGTGACGCGTAGCGACGTGCAGGCTCGATCAGCCAATCTCGGCTCTAAGTGCAGCACCACGACGTGTAGAGCGCTTGATATTTGTTTCCTGGCCAAGTGTCGACAATCTAGCTAGGGGCATATCGGTGGTTCCATGTCAGCCTGGGCATTCGGTAATACCGACCGGTTCGGTAATTCGGTTTCCATCGAAAATCGATTCCTTGAAAAATTGGTACCGATCTGTTCCTTTCCGAAATCGGTACCGAGGAAATTCCGTTTCGGTACTTTCGGTTCGGTTTCGGTATTTACCGAATAGTACCGAACTGATCATAGAGACATGTAACAGTAGGTTCGAAAGCTAATTTTGACATGATTTCATAGAGCATAATAGTGCAAAATAAATATACATATAAAAGTCTACAAGACTATAAGAGTGAGTACCACAAATACATAATATAATAGTCTACAATAGTACAATCAATAATATAACAACATTTAAACTAGGCACATTTCAAGTAATTCGGTAAATTCGGTTCCCCGAGGTAAAAAACCGAATTTACCTCGGTAATTTCGGTTGCTGGGAATTAGGAACCGAATAGGGTACCAAAAAATTCGGTTTCGGTATTTTCGGTTCGGTTCTTGGTATTTTCGGTTCGATTCTCGGTTCTCGGTATTTTTTGCCTAGGGCTAGTTCCATGCACCTATCGCCCACCCAATTTTTCGCATGTTCTGAGTGGTGTCTGTGTGAAAGGTTGCTAAACTACGAGAAAAACTGTCGTGGGCTGTGATAAAGCTGATCATTTTGCGGAACTGCCGTGGAGGAGCTGCGAGGAGCTGCTATGACTTGTAGTTACTTTTATAGTTTAGTCCATTTCCTCTTTACAAATTAAGAACTAATTTTACTTCTATTTGATTCTCTTATAGCTTTACGGTTAGCCTCTTATCCTTAGCCACTTCACCAGATCAGGAAATCGAGCGGCGACAATTGGGCAGCGGAGGAGGACCGTGGCCGGGGATGAGACGAGGGGGCGAAGGAGAGGTGTGGGTGGTCGCCGACAAAGAAGGGAGCCACGAGGATGTGAGGGAGGCACACATCATAGCCGCCACTGTCGGGCTGCTCGTCCGCCACCACCGAGTACACATCGAAGCCATGAACGTCGAGTGTCACGAGTTCGTAATTGCAGCGAGCATTGTGGTTGTTCGTCGGAAGTTGATGTGTGGGTCTCCGGCGGCTCGGACACTCAAAAACACGGAAGGGGCACAGCTCAATTTATTCTAGTTCGGACTTTTGAGCCCTACGTCCAGTAGTATAGTGATCTTCGTGTTAGGGATGCCCAATCGAGGGGTTACAATGGCGGAGATCGAGAGATTGGTGGAGGATCGCTCGGTGCCATTCTAGGGTTCATTTGTCTTCTTCCTCTGAGAGTAAGTAAGAATCCACCTAAGGATAAAATGCCAATTCACGCCTAACTTAATACTGTTGGTGGCCAAATCTGACAAAGGCCACATAAGAGCACCTCTAGCAACCTACCTAAACACGTTGTCTATCCTACATTTGGATAGTGAAGGCAAAAAATGCACTCCATCAGTATCAGACTACCCAAATTTGTTGGCCCAGAGACCCCCCTCCCCCTACCTAATTCTATTGGGCCAACAATTGACTACCTACTTTTCTCATTCGTTGTTTCCTCCCCACGCGAGTCTTCCGTTCGCCCGAGTCCGCCACCGCCGTAGGGGAGACTTGACGTCGACGCAAGGAAGTCCGACGCCCCACAGGGTAGACGCTGCAGCCGCGGGCCCTTCTCCGCCAGATCTGGAGGTGGCCCTCCTCCATCGGCCGTCCTCCACGAGGCACCTCCGACGTGTGGCGAGCTGCCCTAGCGCGGTGTGCGCCCACCGGCGTGGGCGCGGTGCGGGCGTGGCTGCTCGGTGCAGTGGTCATCCTCGGCGCTGCGAGCCCGCCCCTGCGCGCCACCTCCCACCCTGTCCATCAATGGGAAGAAGAACATGAGAGAGAATGACACGTGGAACGATGACCAAAACTACCATAAGAATGTTTATTATTTAAATAGATGTGCGTTTTATAAATGGCTGCTTAACCACCTTTGCAAATCAATCTCATTTTTTTACACGTTAAGAACCATATATTCACTACTCGCATAGGGGCACGCGTCAACAACCAGTCTTATTAACAAACCGGTTAGTTTTGGCCGAACGGGGACGGTCCAGCGGTGCCACTCACCTCTGAGTCTCTGACTGAGATGGCTCTTGTCAATTACTCAATTGTCATCCGATATCATCATTGTTCTCTTCTCCTGGAACTCGTCTTCTTCGGTATGCCTCGCGTGTCATACGCGATCATCAAATATATAAATAAAAGCAACACAGGATCATCGTGCAAAAATGGCATATTAACACAGAAAAACATGTGCTACACTATACATGATCGGCCGATCGGATTTCCAATTCCGTTGGTGATTCTGTTTGGAACAGAAGGATTTCCACGGGAATTTTGAGGGAACAGATTCCAGAGGAAAGGAATCACGTTGGAGCGTTTGGATTCAAGGAATGCCGAGTTACGTTCCACGGGAAAGGGAGTAGCTGATGTGTAAAATGCAGGAAATAAAACATCCACTGCGATCTAAAGGAAACGATCATCGCTAGCTCTCTGTCGACCCATATTTGCCTAACATGTTATAATTTCTATGTTATAAATTCATGTGTTTTAAACAGTCTAAATTTTTTGTTTCTATATTTTAAAATCTCATAGTTTTTCATTTTTATCGTACCTTATTTCTGTATTTTTTTCTATTTCGATTCCTTCGTTCCCAAGAGGGCCAAATTCCCCCCGCGTCCTTTCCCCATCGCTCCTCGATCTGCTACCCGTACCCGCATTCATAGATGCGACCGAGCGCCGCACAGCGCCTAGTGCCAACTAGGCGTAGCGCACCGGCGCAGACTGGGCTCGGGGCCCCCGTGTGCGGCTCTGCTTCAACAGCTGGCGCCACAGAAACATCAGTTTTTTGTCCGCGTCAGGCGCCACGGCCCTGCCAGAGCAGCAGCGACGAGAGCATAGAGCAACGTGACGAGCGGCGAGCGATACAGGCCAGAGCCGCGCGTCCTCCTGCGTCGCAGCGGCTTCGGGATGTCCCGCACTCCCGTGTGGGCGTAGCGCGTCTGCGTGTGCGTGGCGCCGACCTTACCCCGCGGCAGTGGGTGGTGCCGCTTTCCAAATCCAACGCACACCCCAGTACCCCACGCACATCTACGCGGGGGGCGCGCACACAGCCGCTAATCTTTCGCCCCCACGCCCCACGCCGCACCGCACCTGGTGCTGGTGTGTTGGCGACTTGGCGTGTAGCCCCCCTCCCTTCCCCCGTTGCGCGGTGATCTCTCTCGCGATAAACCAATCGATCGAGCAATCCAATCGAGGCAGAAGTAGAATCGGGGGATCAATCTGGGGCGCGTTTCGTCCGGTCGTCCGCCATGTTCTCGCGATCCTACACCAATCTGGTCGATCTCGCCAATGGCAACCTCTCCGCCCTCGACTACGGAGGCGGCGGCGGCGGGGGTGAGGGCGGAGGCCAGGGCGGGGGTGGAGTTGGAGGCGGAGGCGGGGGCGGGGGCCCGCCGCCGCGGGCGAGGCAGATGCAGCGGACGATGACGACGCCCGGGACGCTCGTGGAGCTCGACGACGAGGACCAAGCGGGCAGCGTCGCCTCCGACGTGCCGTCGTCGTTCGCCAGCGACCGCCTCATCGTCGTCGCCAACACGCTCCCCGTGCGCGGCGAGCGCCGGCCCGACGGCCGCGGGTGGAGCTTCTCCTGGGATGAGGACTCGCTCCTCTTCCACCTCCGCGACGGCCTCCCCGAAGACATGGAGGTCCTCTACGTCGGCTCCCTCCGCGCCGACGTGCCGGCCGTCGAGCAGGACGAGGTCGCGCAGGCGCTCCTCGACAGGTTCCGTTGCGTCCCGGCCTTCCTCCCCAAGGACCTCTGCGACCGATTCTACGACGGCTTCTGTAAGCAGACGCTCTGGCCGCTCTTCCACTACATGCTCCCCTTCTCCCCAGACCACGGCGGACGCTTCGACCGCTCCCAGTGGGAGGCCTACGTCCTCGCCAACAAGCTCTTCTCCCAGCGCGTCATCGAGGTCCTCAACCCGGATGACGACTACGTCTGGATCCACGACTACCACCTCCTAGCCCTCCCGTCCTTCCTTCGCCGCCGATTCAACCGCCTCCGCATCGGTTTCTTCCTGCACAGCCCCTTCCCTTCGTCAGAGCTCTACCGTTCTCTCCCCGTCCGTGATGAGATCCTCAAATCGCTGCTCAACTGCGATCTGATTGGGTTCCACACCTTCGATTACGCCCGGCATTTCCTGTCCTGCTGCAGCCGCATGCTCGGGATCGAGTACCAATCCAAGAGGGGGTATATTGGGCTGGATTATTTTGGACGCACGGTGGGGATAAAGATCATGCCTGTTGGGATTAACATGGTGCAGTTGCAGTCACTTCTCCATCAGCCTGATCTGGAGCGGCAGGTCACGGAGCTCCGGAACCAATTCAATCGGAAGACTGTCTTGCTCGGTGTGGATGATATGGACATTTTAAGGGGATTGATCTGAAGATTCTTGCGTTTGAACAGATGCTGAAGACACATCCAAAATGGCAGGCCTGAGCAGTGTTGGTGCAGATTGCAAACCCAAAAGGCGGCAGCGGGAAAGACCTTGAGGGGCTACAGACTGAGATTGAAGACAGTTGCAGGAGGATCAATGAGCAGTTTGGACGGACTGGATATAGCCCTGTCGTGCTTGTCAATAGGATACTGTCAAGTGTTGAGAGGATGGCTTATTACACAATTGCAGAGTGTGTCGTTGTCACTGCAGTCAGGGATGGGATGAACCTTACACCATATGAATACATTGTGTGTAGGCAGGGAATTCCAAGTTTGGATGGTTCTGCAGATGATAGACCGAGGCGGAAAAGTATGCTAGTTGTGTCAGAATTCATTGGCTGCTCACCATCGTTGAGTGGAGCAATTCGGGTAAACCCGTGGAACATTGAGTCAACAGCAGAGGCGATGAATGAATCCATCGCTTTATCAGATACTGAGAAGCAACTGCGACATGAGAAGCACTATCGGTATGTCAGCTCACACGATGTTGCCTATTGGTCTAAGAGCTATATTCATGATTTTGAGAGAAGCTGTAGGGACCATTTTAGGAGGAGATGCTGGGGTATTGGACTAGGATTTGGATTTAGAGTGGTTGCTCTTGACCGCAATTTCAAAAAGCTTACTGTGGATTCTATTGTTGCGGATTACAAGAAGTCAAAGAGCAGGATTATACTACTGGACTACGATGGAACCCTAGTACCACAAACTACAATGAACAAGACTCCAAGTGAAACTGTTGTTAACATGATGAATACCCTGTGTGCGGATAAGAAGAATGTTGTTTTTACTGTAAGTGGAAGAGGAAGGGATAGCCTTGAAAAATGGTTTTACCCTTGCTCAGAGCTTGGCATTGCTGCTGAACATGGCTACTTTATGAGGTACAAGTCTTTCCATAGTTTTCATGACTATTTAATTTATTACAGTTCTTTAGTGTCTTTCATTGCCTCTTTGCCTTAAATGCAACTGATATTCATCTTAAGCTGCTAATATAAATGAATGCAAAATTATATTGAAGTTTAATGTCACATGTTGAGAGGTTGCTTGCTTTCCTGACTTGACTCTCTCAAAAGAAAGTAAAGAGAAGATTTTCCTATTTTTGTGATTAATCTGTCACAAAACTTTAGATTTCCCCCCATTGCAGCATGCCACTATTACAATTTCCGTATCCTAACTTATTCTTTTGATTAGAAGATCAGCCAAAGCTTCTTACACGAACAGCTCATTCATGATCTGTTTATGCTTAGTAAACTCTGTATTACAGAAAATCACCAACCAAAGATTTCATTATCTTTGTTGTTGATTAAGATGGCTCAAACTCAACATTGATTTGGTGAACCTGTTGTCATGTCATATTTGTCCAAAACATCACCAGAACATATACCTAAAAGTGCTAGAAAGACAAGAAATATGCTTTGCATTTTATCTGTATGATTCTGATAGCTGTCGTGCTTTTGATGCATTCTAATGCAGTGCAACCCCATTACCTACTCTGATACCCATGTTGGCAATGTGTCATTCCTATTTTAAAAACTATAAGGGCAGTGACAATCACGCCTTTTAGTGACAATCACACATCAGATATGTAAATGTTTCAGCAAGGCAACCTGCTCAGGATAGCTATATGTTTAGGACTGATAGTAAGTATTAAAGACTGTAATTATTATTGGCTGACAGCTTTGGACTTATGCATGACATATGAATATGCTGATCATCAATGAAATGTTTATCCCCATGCATCAATACTTTATCTTTGCATCCACACAACACTTTGGTAGTTCAATATAACCGAAAAATCTTGTCCTGTCATTTGGTATGATTATTTTAGTGGCAATATGTGTTTATTGCTCAATCAAGAATGAGCACACAGCACAGTAAAAGGTCTGATTGATAGCTGGGCTACTGGCAATATACGCAGATTCATTGTTCTCATCTGGGTGACAAAATAGGCTGTGAATGGCTTAACACTTCCAACTCTGCAACTTGCATATCGAAAGTGCTTGCATGTAAATAGTCGGATAAACTTTTAAACTTCTGTGTTCTTTGATGGTTTTATATGATTCTTTTGAATATTTGTGAGTTTGAAGTGATGTTAAACATTGGGATTTCTTAGGAAGTTTGGGACATATCTCAACAGTTGCTTATGTCTGCAGGTGGACCAGAGACGAACAGTGGCAAATACAACATCAGACATCAGATTTTGGATGGATGCATATGGCTGAGCCGATAATGAAACTGTACACAGAGGCAACTGATGGATCATATATTGAAACCAAAGAGAGTGCTTTGGTCTGGCATCACCAAGATGCTGACCCTGGTTTTGGATCTGCACAAGCGAAAGAAATGCTAGATCATTTGGAAAGTGTCCTGGCCAATGAGCCAGTCTCTGTAAAGAGTGGCCAGCATATTGTAGAGGTTAAGCCTCAGGTATTGAATTTCTCCAAAACACATTATTTACTCTGCATGGTTGAAATTGACACTTATGTTGTGGATATTCACGTTCCCCACACCATGTGCAAAATAGTGTACCTACTAGGATTATCCGTCATAAGTGTTTCTTTTCTTTACCTGACACTAACTCGAGTTAATTTGTTATGATGTTTGTCATTTAGGCCATAGCACTATCATTCATCTCCCATGACATGTTATGATGGCAAGGAGACAGAGAAATTTGAATTTGCATGTGCTTAAAATCCATAAAACTTATCTAAGTTGTGTTTGCTATGAAACTTGGTCATCAAAGACCTTATTCTGATTTTGTGTTGAAATTGATCTCTTTTTTTTTTCTCGATCACGCAAAAGGTTTATGCGTCTTTGTATTAAGGTAGAGAAAAACTTTAATACAACACGCCCAATCGGCGCCCTAGGAGGTCAGAAGAGTAGTACATGGACGCTCGGACCCTCCCTAGTGTGCTGAAAGAAATTGATTTCTCTTTTCTCAGCAAAAATTTAGTCACTTGTTACCCCGAGTTTAACTCCCTGCTTTTCTTTCATTGCAGGCTGTCAGCAAAGGTTTTGTTGCCGAGAAGATACTTTCAACTCTCATGGAGAAGGGAAGGCAAGCAGATTTCGTTCTGTGCATTGGTGATGATAGATCGGATGAGGATATGTTTGAACAGATTGCTGATAGTACGAGGAAGAGCATGGTTGATCCCGAAACCTCGCTGTATGCCTGCACAGTCGGGCAGAAACCAAGCAAGGCCATTTACTATTTGGATGACGCTAATGAGGTCTTAAACATGCTCGAAGCACTTGCTGATGCATCGGAGGAGGCAGGTTCTGGTTCACCGGAAGGCACTGATGGACCATCTACACTGGAGGAAGCATGATGGAATCAGGTGTCGTCCTGGGAGGTGAAGTGCTCAGCTGATTTGGCACTGCCACCACCAGACTAAAACTGAAGACGGTTTCGTTCAGCAGGAAGTGAAACATTAGCAATACCAGGATAGTCAATGTCAATAACCTAGTTGTTTCTCTATTTCTGGTTCCTTTTTCAGTTTACCTTAAGTTAGAGTAATTTTCATATTGTATCTAGTAGATAGGAAAAAGTGCCTGGACGGAAGAATCCATGGCCGGCATCTTTTCACCTTTTTCACCTTGGTACCAGTTAAGAGAGAATGGAGTATTCCGCGAGCATAAGTCGAAATTAGGGCATGTCTTCATACACATGGCGAGTTCCTAGCTGGGGCTAAAAATTTGCCCAAATTAGTTATGGTGGGAGCTAACAACTACGAGTAGTTGGAAACTTGGGTAAACAATTAGCACCCTTCTTGATTGGATGCACTAAAGCCAATTTTAATTAATTTTTAGCTAGCTAAGAATTAACCCTTGTATCTGGACACTGGGATTTTGCCTAGTGGTGCAATTATTCTCAATCGTCTTCTCAATGATTGAAGCCAATGTGAGCAGAAACCAGTACGATACCTGAAGAATCTTGTTCTTGCATGTCAAATAATTCCATTAATTCAATAAACAGGAGGAACTACAAATGGATTATATAAGATATCAAAGAATATCGTGGACTAGTGCGGACAAAATTAAAGTACGGGCTCCATCTGCAGATCTGCTTCTTTAGCAGTCTACATATGTGTGCACATGGTTGACCCTCTAGGATCATGTTCAACTGATTAGTAGAGTCCGGAATCTCAATAAAAATCGAAATATTATAAATAAGAAACATATAACAAACAGTAATATAACCTGCAAAAGTTTCTTCGCAACCAGAGGAATCCCAATCCGCTAGTACCCAACGCCAGGGCTGGGCGCCTGGGCACAGACCGCAGCAGCCGCTCGGCTCTTGTGCCGCTCACAGGAAGACCTTCCGGCAACTTGTGCACCAGCGCCACCAACCCGCCGCCTCCGGCCGGGGACAGTCGCCGCGCCGTGCCAGCTTCGAAGCGCACCGCCACGCCTTCGCCCGACCCCGGGGATGTGCGGTCTTGGGTCTTGGCACGACGCATGGCTCAGGAGCAGGCACAGAACAAGGAGCACCCAGCCGTGCCGCTGCATTGCTGCTCCAGTAGTCCTCCTCAGGTACAAGTTGGCTAAAGGTAGGTCAGTTGGGCTGATTGGCTCGGAGGCCGAATTGGGTTGCGCTGAGCTAAGGAAGCCAGCTGATCGAGGTGAACAACTGAACATTGTTGGTTGCTGCGGATCGGACCTCAGTGGAAGTGCCGGGAGTGATCTCACTCTCACGATGCGGAGTTGGTTAAGAGATGGCGGCGCGCCTACGTCGCCGCTACCGCCTGCTAGAGTGCTAGGCTCGATCGGCTAGAGGTACCAGTTATGTTTTGTTTACTATAAGGGATCAGAATCATCACCCGAGTAATGTATAGTGATTCTTATTTTTTTAGACAACCTATTAGCCTATTTTTTTTATTTGTTTTCTAAACTTCGTGATAAAAAGTTATATAGAAAGCCTCTTATTAGACATGCTCGGCTGGTTTCTGACAGTGTTCTGTATTAGCGATCACTGCATCAATCGCTACCTGATGGAAAGAGACATGTCGTTTCAGCTGAGGCTGTTCCCTCTTATCCATCGTGATCCGTGTAATTGAGCATTTTTTCACAATCTGCCCTCCAGAAGAACAGAAGTGGATTTCCTTTCTGGTTGAAGACAAAAATGTCTTAGTTATTTGTGTGTGGTGTACAACCTGTGGCAAACTCATGAGGGCCCATGCGCTCATCCAAGGATTTTTACATGACAATTGTGGTCTCTGCTATGGAAGATAATAAGGTCATACATTGCAAAAGTAGAGGCAGTCAGGATGCAATATCACCAACAAACTGAGATTTTATCATCGCCGGGAATACTATGGACGATCCATTTCTCCGCCGAACTCTTCAGTACAGCCCAGGCACAAGCACAACCCTCTTCCCCTCCACAATTTTGGGCAAGAAAACATGCATATATTGGCATGCCGGAAGAAGAGACCGGGACTGGCGCCGGAGGACACGGGGAAGAACGAACTTGACGGTGAAGGCGGTGGCGGCGGAGTCCCGCAGCTCGGAGGGGGGAATCGACGAAGATTATTACGCTGTTCTTGGCGTTGTAGGTGCTTCATCTGGAAAGCAATCTTTTTTGCAGTTTACCTTTTTTTGTGATATAAACCCGTTCTTTTGAATTGTCTAGTTTTGTAGAAGTGGAAAATAAGCAGTGCTTTTTTCTTCTTACTTTGAAAATATATATCTTCGTGCCAGCAATTTTGAAATGGTTAGGCGGAAGAAACATACTATGCAGTGGGGCTGTTTGTTGCAACCCTGAAGCTACGGTAGAACACTTTGAATTTAATTCTCGCATGTTTGCAGATGCCAGATGCAACGCCGAAGCAGATCAAGAAAGCATACTACAATTGCATGAAATCATGTCATCCTGATCTCAGTGGGAATGACCCTGATATGACAAATTTCTGCATGTTCATCAATGAAGTTTACACGGTACAGTCTCAGGAGATAAAATCCTGCCATTTTCTAAACATGTTTTATGGAGCTATATTGAAATTATGTGTGAATCTAATAGGAGCAAGTGAAAGCAGGTGCTTACCGATCCCATCCAGCGAGCAGTGTATGATGAGATACATGGGTATGCCGCGACTGCAACCAATCCTTTCTTGGATGACAGTGCACCCCGGGAACATGTGTTTGTTGATGAGTTTAGTTGCATAGGTAGTGATGACTTTGCCCTGAACAGAAATTGTATTTGGATTCAATTTAATGAGCTCTTAATTATGTTCTACTCGCATCTCTCTGCAGGATGCAAGAACTGTGCTAACGTGTGTTCTAAGGTCTTTCAAATTGAGGAAGATTTCGGACGGGCAAGAGTTTATGACCAATCAGGCAGCACAGAACTGATTCAAGTAGCTATTGATAGTTGGTGAGAATGGAAAAAACTTTATTTCTTTTTTGCCCTGACTTTTGTTCGTTAATCTATCCATGATCCAAGCATCCCTACTGAAAATTTGGTAATATTTCTTCTGGTTTGGAGTCCTGTATTCTGATTACCTGTTCTGATAAACTTTCGTTTTGTCCAGCCCAGTTGACTGCATTCATTGACTTCAGCTGCGCAACTTTCGCTCCTTGAGGATGAAATGCGCAGAGTAGAGAGAGTAAATGTACGATTATGTTTTTCTGATAATTTCGATGGCATGATCATGTTTCTGAGTTTCTAATTCTGACTGCAGCTAGTTAACAATAGAACCAACCTTCTAAATTCAAACCAACAATACATGTTATCCTACCTTGTGCTAGTATATTAATCTTTTTCAATTTGAACAGGTTGGATTAATGCTTGCTGGGATGGGAGGCTCAGTTGATGTGTTTCGGATGGTAATATATCAGTTCTTTTTAGTACCTATCCTAACCTTCTCCTGTTGAAATGGGTCACCCACTTTTCTGCAACAGTTGTCTGTTGATATTTGATAATGCAATCACTTCCTGAAGTTGATATGTTATATAGCAATTCCTCCGAAGTTAAACAAGCCACGGCTTTCTCACATCTTATAAAATGTTTTCTGCCTCTCAGGCAAGTTCGCGTTGGGAGAAAAGACAAGCCAAAGTCCTGGTACAGTTTTCTACTTGATAGACCTTCATTAGATATACATGAAGGAATAACATGATGACACAGTTTTTTTTTTCTCGACACATGAACTGCCTGCATTTCTCATAAACTAGTCTGCATCTTGCAGGAGAAGGTCAGAAGGCGGATGAGCCAAGATGATTCCAGTACGGGTGGCTCATGGAGTGATATCTGGGGAGCACCAACAAGATACGAGAAGAACGGTAAAACTAGCATATTTAGTCTTTATAAAAGTTGCTCATATTTTTTATGTTTTCTATTCTTCACATGAGAGTCTTGTTAACGTTCCTGCTAACCCAATAAGCAGAAGAGGAGGCAAAGGAGAGAGCAAAGCGAGCAGCGGCTGCAGCAAGGAGGTGGCGAGAGTACTCAAGGAAAGGCGCCGACAAGCCTCCTACATTCAAACTTCCAGAGGCAGTGCCCAACAAGGAGTGAGAACACAACAATCAGAGACCTTAGGAAACATTACAGGGATACTTAACCCCCATTTACTTCATGAATGTATAGCCTAATCATTTGCAGAGAGCTGTAGCCTGTATAGTATATATTCGCTCTCTGATTCCACATGGTATACCTGTAAATCCTCTGTTAGTGATAGCTCGGGTCGATTACACAGAGTTCCCTCAGATTTCAGATGCAAAACAAGTGTACACAGAAAGTGACACCTTGCTACTCCTTACAATCATAATCTATATCATATGAACCGGTTATCTTTATCTGAGCCTTAAGTGATCATACCTGAAAGATGAAGTGCATAAACCACAATAATCCGCAAGTACAAGTACAACCATGAAGAGATGCCGTTATTTAGAGACGGAGCAAAATTTTGCTTTCCCCAGGTTCTGAATGGAGAACCCTTATCTGACGGAGCAAGCGACCGCGTGAGCCCACGACCTGAGATGCGCCTTCATGGCCACGCCTTCTCCGGGCGGCGGCATCGTCGCCTGCGAGCACCGGGCTCGGGCCGCCGCAGCAATGGGCGCCCGCCGCCTCTGCTCCTTGTGCCAAGCAACCATGCGCTCATCACACTCCCAGCTGCAACCCCTCGCAGCCGCAATCCGCACAATTCCGCCCTCTGCTCTTCGCCCTGTTTGCGCCGCTGCCTCCTTGACGCATTTGGGGGCCCGGCAAGGGCGGCCGCTGGTCGTCTTGTTGGTTTCTGCCAAATCTTGCTGCAGCTCTTCTGCACACTCGCTCTCCTTGTGCTTGGAGGACAGCCGGAGGAAGACGCTGGAGTAGAACCACAGGGAATCCATGCTCGAAAGAATCGCGTCCCCTTCCATTTTTCGGGCTACAGGTAGAGCAGGGCCCTGTGGAGTTTGGGGAGGCAGCTTCAGCTACAACCTGGAAGGCTAGAACTGAGGAAAGAATTCCTCAAAAGAAAAATAGAACTGAGGAAAGAATTGGAAGCGACGGGGATTTGGGCTTGGGTGGCTGGTGGCTGGTGGCTGGTGCCAGCCATGTCCGTTTACAAAATGCTGATATGACGAATAATAAATGGTCATAGAAATTACGGTAGTTTATATACAGTGATACACTGATCGCTAATTATCTCTTTCTAACTATTACTAGTGCTCAAAGACTCAAGAATTTGTTGATTAAAACAGTACGTGATTCTACCATTTTGACTAGCTTAATCTCTCCACTCAAGGTTGACCGGCAATTGGCGACCATAAATCTTCTTCTCCTTTAGCTTACTTAACTAGTATAGTGGCCGTGCTAACGCTACGGCAGCATTTCAGGGATGCTCATAAAAACAACCTATTTTTTATAGTTTAAGTTTCACGCAATTGTATTTCACCATGTATATAATCCGAAAAACACTCATGTATATCACCAGCAAGTTCAGGTCAAGCCTAAAAAAAAGCAAGTTCAGGCCATGAAATTATAAGCCCATGCTAACGCTACGGTTCATAAAGTTACAAGCCCGTACTCATGTATATCAGCATAGCAAATATACTTGAGTAACATTGCAAATAAAATCACATCTATTATCTTTTGAAGCCATCTTAAAGGATTAATCTGTTCTATGGTTCATGGTAACAATGAAATGAGATGGCCGGAGCCCATCGTGCGTATTGTGTGTCAAAGCAAAATGATAGCATCAGAGTGCTTGGCAGGCCTGTCACCTCTGTCCCCCATCCGGGTTTGCAGACAGCCACTCCGCGGCTGCTGCCTGCAGCCTGCTGATGCATTTAAATCACCAAAAGAAATCTAAACTATGACACGAAAGGAAAGCTCCAATGCATTCTTTCATTAACAATGACAAAGGGTAAAAATATTTGCTAAACTTCACCTCTGTAGTTTTTTCTCCACTGCATTATTTTATTAAAATAAAATAAAATATGGGTTCACCTTTTTAATGTTTGCTTGCTTCAATTCTGAAATCTCTTGAACTCCTTTGTGCTAACAAATTGAAGAATGATTGAACCACTGGCCAAATGCTGACCACAGGCATGAACTGTATATTCAAGTATCACTGTGCACTATGTTGTGGTCATCCTTTAATTTGAAATATGCCATGACCATGGAGCTTCAAGATGACGATGATATAAAATGAAGCTTGCAAACAATATGCAGAGCAACCACCTAAAAAGATATAAAGAAAAAGGTAACCAATAAGTGAAATTAGATATTAGAAATGGTAATAGATTAACTGAAGACTTATGTTACTTTTGGATGTCTTGAACTTAAAAAGGGATTTGGGACCTTTCAAGTGTGATTCAGTAAACAATATACAGGGGCATGTAATGTGCAAATGAAAGAATAGAAACATGTGAGTATTGGTAAACAAAAGAGCCATCATCCTAGCTTGCTATCTAATGCCTCTTCTAACATTATCAAAATGGGGAGAATTAGCACCCACTTATGCTGCCATATATACTGTAGCATGAAGATTCCTGGAAAACAGAAGAGAAGTTTTTCAGAATATTATTTAACTACTCCAACACTCGCTGCTTATATATGTTTAGGTAATTTTCTCGAAATGAAAAGGCATAAAAAATCTTGTTCGCATTTCAGAAACGTCATCCCAAATCCTAGCTCTTTCACTGTTACCATCTTGCATGGAGAGAAGAGAAAGGAATACTCACTGCCATGTCCATTCCTTTTCCTAGTAAACCCCACAGAGCTTCCTCCACATGAGCTTTGTCATAATTTGTGAATACCTGCAGTAACCAAATGTAGGCTAATAAAAATGCTCTCTGCGACCATTTTTTCAAACATACCATTTCATAATACAGCATGAGTTACCTTAAGGCCAGCCATTGTAGTGCCAAATTCCTTGTACAGGTCCAGGCACATATCTGTAATTTGGCATCCTTCAAGCATTCAAATCATTTGTTGACTATCTGAAAATTCAAGAAAACAACAATTAACCAAAGACATGTTATTTCATTTCATCAAATCATTAAAGTAAGTGCAGCTTTGCTTTACCTTCAAAACAATAGCTCCACCTGTGGAGTACCCAAATAAGAAGCACGTGCCAAACCACAGTTTCCCTCCAGCTAGTATATTTGCCCGTGCTAACGCTACATATTAACCCTATACTTCCAGGACAAAATTCTTAAAAATATTCCAACAGGCCTACATACAATTGCAGCAATGATCATATTATGTTCCTTTTCCTCTTCTCCAATGCATACTGGTGATAGAACTTTGTATTGCGATCACCTCTTTCTAAACAATTAACATGGGTGGGTGCTTCTATTATAAGTCCTTTTGTTCATCCAGCCTAACTAGCAATGATCATATTAGTAGAATAGGGAATATTACTTGGAAAACTCAAATAAGAAAACCATAGAGAGCGCTAACTGCTAACATTAGTGACAATCACCAATGACAACTGAATGCACTTTCCCTAAAATTATAATAAAAACTATGAATCCCATGTCATTAACAAAAGAAAACCCTGCCAAACTATTTGTCTAGCAGGATTCACAAATGGAGCTTGCGAACAAGTTCCTGAAAAATAGAAAACAGAAAAATGTGAGGCACATATAGCATGCGCCCACTTCGTAAGAGAACATGGAATTTCACAAGCAACCTAAGAAATACCTCATGCTCTTTGTTTCTACTATCATACTGAACTTCTATTCAGTTCTATAACCTCTGTAGCAAAGTCTCAACAAATGTATACACCTACATAACACAGGGAAATCAACTTTAAGAGAAATAAATAACAAGAAATAAGGTATTTAAACATGCAAACAAAGAACATCACATAGGAGAGGTAAAAGGTAAATTAAAATACAATCATGTCTCTTTTAGGGCTTCTTGTTAATGGTTGATAAACTTATCTAGTAGCAGAGTGTAGAGCTTAAAGAGATGAATAAACACAGTTCTATGTACGCTTTGGCAAGAAAATAATGCTCCATGTCAAAACACATGACCACATTTAAAAAAAAATAAAGTCAGATTTATGGAACTGTACAAATATAGTGACAGTTTCTACAAGAACATACCAATCAATAAAACTTCAAAAACGGAACACTCTAGCATGAACAGGGAAGCCACATTAAGTGTTTGAGTTGTACCAGAAAAGGGAGAAAAATACTTGTAGTTCCTTGCTCCAACACAATTCACTACCAAATGCAATGGTGGTCTATTTTAAGCACACATATGTTACCTGTGTTTTATGGACGCAGTTGACATCAGCTAAGACATTTTACAGAAATTTGACAGTGTTTGGTTCTTTTCAATCATAGCAAAGAACATCAAAAATAAGATCCAGATCAGGAACAAAAAAACAGAACAATTGGTGGTTCCAATATCAGGAAAATGAAGATAAGAAATTCATGACCCCAGTTACTTCAGTACTTATCAAACACTGCAAGTTGCCAATTTTCAAGCATATATATTCCTACCTAGCTAGTAACAAATAAAAGGAAAAATAGAAAATGTGAACGCACCTTGTTAAAACCATGTTGAGCCTCTATAACAAAAGTTGAATAAAGAGAGAACGACAAGTCCATAATCTGCATTTCATATGCATTACTTTCACATCAGTAGTGCATTCGTGCTCTAAATGAGAAGTTGTTTCTCCTCTCCATGACAGAACAATTGGAGATATACTTATTTCTTATTTGAAAGCAAGGATAGAATCTGCAGGCATGGTACTTGGAGAATGGATCTTGGCACATACCATTGGATTCCTGGAGGATGGGTGCAGCAGCTCATCTCGCTTGGGATTCCTGGCGGAGGAGGGCAGCAGCTCGTCGTGATTCCTTGAGGAGGGCCGGAGAGGGGCAACATCTTGTCCCGATTGACCTACTGCACAGCAGCTGTAGCCGTATGCCTATGCAAGCTAGCAGAATCAAACATTTGGATTTGGGGATGGGGCTAGTGTGTGGAGGAACGTACCTGTGATGGACGGAACTTGGGGGCACCGATGTGGAGGCGGCGCGGGCGTGAGGAGCGGGATTCACGATGAAGTCCTCGGCGCCGGCGTTCAGGCATCTACTCCGAGCAAGCAGCAACGAGAGCGGCCAGCCAGGGTAGCAGTGTCGCCCTTCACCACACCTCCATCGCCGCCAGACATGGACACGCGGAAGCAGCTAAAAAGGCACCCCATCATCCCCCGCTCCTCCTCGTCCGCACGGCTGCCGCGCACCTTGGATTCCGCCCCGCGCCGCTGCCGCGTGCCCTGGATTCCGCCCCGCACCGGAGTGGGAGACGGAAGCGTGGCCGGACAGGGAGCCCGAGCCTGATGGCGCCGCCGCCGGCCAGAACCCTAGCCGTCGGGCGGACCGGGAGCAGGAGAGGGAGGCGTGCCCGCGCTCTCTGCCCCGAGCTTAGCGTTGATGTTTCTTTTTTCCCGAGAAAAGAGGCACCCGAGGATTCGAACCGTGGCCGTCGGGGGAGGGATTTTTATTTTATTTTTTCATCCTTATGGATGCAACTCCTCTGTTTTTCAGTTTTATATTTGCTCCTACACAATTGCCATTACAAACAGTGAACTTCCTACGCTTTTGTCACTTTCGCTGATGTGGCAAGACAAGTGGGCATGCCAGCGTGACAGCGAGCCTGTGAATCTCTACAAGCATGCAAAATTACTTGTTTACCCCTGCTGCTTCTCTCTCCCTCCTCTTGCTGATGCGTGAGCCCCACACATCAGCTTCTCCTTCAACCCCATCTCTTCTGCGCCAGAGCTTCCCGGCCCCTCCTCACCGAATGAGCTCAGCTCCACTAGCGTTGGTTGCCCTTCGCCACCGTCGGTGCGCCTAGGGGGAAGCATGACGCGTCCACCGTCGTCGAGGCCGAGACATCCACCGCCTCCGTAGAGTCCCGCATTGTCCCACTGCCGCCGAGCCTGGGCTCGAGCCTCGGCTTTTCCGTCGGCGCCGGCAACAGCGAGGATGGGAGCAGCAGATCCTCCATGGCTACGAGCGCGCCGCGTGTTCCGCTCCCGCGGTGCGACCACACCTCGGTAGCGCTCTCTTCGCGAGAGCATGAGCGGGGATGGGTCGCCAGAGCCAGAGCTTCCTAGCCCCCTCCTCCCCGGACGAGACGCCTCCACGCCTGCGCGCGAGGGCAAGGATGCCACCGACGGATTGGTGGAGGCCAAGTCGGGTGAACTCACGCACGAACTTGACTCCGACTGATCCTGGCTGACGGAGGTGGGGGTCGGCGGCGAGTTGCGGCACGCAGGCACCACCACCACCCGCCGTGTAACATAACCGACCAAATTATAAGAACGTATGTACAAAAACAATCACCGAAGTGATCAAATTACTGTACTTAAGCTCCCATAATCCCGGTAGTCCGGAAATCACGAAGGATTTCAAACAACTCTCGACATACAAACCAAGACCGTAGTGATTCAACACAACACATCATTCGTTACAACATTTCACAAGTGGCATCCGGATTACATCCATCAGAGTGCGAATAAAATATTACAAACCAAGTTGAAATTTGCGGAAGCAACATAGTTTAGTACATAACTTCATAGTTTCAAATACATTACCAGATCTTAGTCCTGTCCTACAAAAGCATTATCAGGTACGAGAACTAGGAGAGACCGCGCCCAACGGTCTAGTCTTCATCCCCAGCCGGGAGAAGACAATACTTGCAGCAACCGAAGTAGAACTAGTCATCTGCAACAGGTGGGAGATAAACCCTGAGTACGAGAAGGTACTCAGCTAGACTTACCCGTCAAAACCAAAAATAAAAGACACCAAGGGTCATGCAAGGCTTATAAGGTGGGCTAGCTTGACACAGTTGCATAAAAGAGCTTATGAATACAGTGACCAATTTAAACTTAGCATCAAGCTTATCATCATTTACCTGTCCACTAGATTAGCACCTGTACTAGAGCACTCACTTATTAGGAGCAATCAATATTAACCATAGCAGGTATAATAAGGCTATCATCATCATATCATCATTTCTGAACCATTATGTTATTTAGTGTATCTACTTTGGAGATAAGCCCGTCAAGTTTTCATTAACCGGGAGAGACGACGACTCGAATCGAATTACAACTCAGCTGAGGGGGTATTCCTAACTCTCACCCTGGCATACTTTGCAAGGGTAGCCATGGGTCACCTTTGGGACAACTCAGAAACCAAATTCGCGGGTTCTATCAGCGCCAGCACTCTCAGGGATTACCCTTCTGCCAGGACGATCTGGACTTTTAAATCACCTGCCCTTAGACTCACGCCTACGGCTCCCTTCCGAGGCGCACTTTATACTTATCGACTCCCGGCCTAAGGTGAGCTACTCGGCTTCGTGGTCGGTCTTCAGACACGACCAACTAAGAGAGAGGCATGCGTTCAACATAAATAAGAAATGCTCCAAGATTCAGTCCTTAAGCGATACAGACGGAGTCACTACAAACCGACAAGCCTCCGCCCGGTCTTCATTTCAAATTAAGACAGGTTCTTTTCCACGATAGCAAATATAGCCAACCGTGCCATATGTATATTCCTATATCTCGCAGGTGACAGGAAATCACCTGACTTCTAACGCGTTTAAGCAGGGCTAAGCACTACACGAGCCTGAGCTACATAGGATTCAGGGTATCAATATCTGGACAAGGATTGGATAACCAATGCAGCAAGTGTTTGCATCCAACACCTAAACTTAATGCAACAATATATATGTAACAATAATACTTTAACTGCATTTCAGAAATTAGGAGGCTTAATATGCTCCGGGGCTTGCCTGGGATCCGACACAAGTCAGTTCAGTTAGCTTGCACCGTCATGGTGACATCTCCGGTCCTAGCACTTGCTTAGTCCTTTCATCTTCGGGATATATCCACCAAACCAAATCTTCAGGTTTGGCTCCAACATCGCATCCTTCACATGGTGCATCTAGCGTACCTAGATGAGATGCAATATACAAGTGCATAAATATGAAGAATAGTACCATGAGACGCATCACAAAATAATAAGCAAGACAAGCATAGTTTACACTAACACACTTAAGTACTTTGCGATGCTTAACTTAAACATCACACAATCTATCATGCTAAGATGGCAAAGAAGACGACCACACCAAGCATGACACAAGTTTCTCAAGATCTCAGGTGCTCTAACTCAGTCATCATTCAAGGCATAAGTCACACTTAACAATATACAAGCAAACACTATAATTGGAATCTGCCAATTTCTGGACATGCACACAGCAACTACAAGATTTAGCTATAACTGGAGTTACACAAATCCAAATGACTTGCAAGAAGACATTTTGGAAATCTTATGAAATTATCTACATTTAATCTATAACTATCACAGCATGGTTCCCAAGTTAAGTAGGTCGAAATTATACCTTTACAGAAACTGGCTCATACAAAACAGAGAGCAACAAATCATGTATTCTAACTTTAAACAATTGTAACTCAAACACTACTCGGCCAAATGATACCAAATTTTAACAGCAGCTAGATACATAACTTTTGTATAAACAAGTTTCACAACAAAGCACATTGTCATGAAGAACTTTGCTAAGTTCCCAGATCTGTCCATAAACCACATCGGCAAGAAAATAATTATTAACTTATGTTGCAAATTCATAATTGGGCAAAACCAACTTTACCAACATTTCACACATGACTAAAGAACACCAGAAAACCTAGTGTCCATGACCAAATAAATACTTTTAATGCATTTCTTAATTTATTTTAGATAACAAGGTGACTTAATGAACATATACCAAAAGTATACAATAAATTATACAAAAATTACAGTGGCTCACATATCCTCTCAATAGTCTACTGTACAAATTTCACTCCATTTGAATATGTATAGCAACCTCTATGAAAAAGACAAGTTGCTAAAGCAAGAAATCATGTGAGAGCGAGATAAACCAATAACTCACTCATACTTCATCCAATACATATGAAATTTTTACCACACATCAAATATCATATGAGTAGCATGCCACAAAAATTTCACTTCATTTGGAGCCCTAGATCTGCAGTTATGGAAAATAACAAATTCAACTAGCATTACAATCTTACTGCACAAATCTATTTTTACCGCAAAATATTTAAACTAAAACATGCCATATTATAGATCTAATACATAGAGAATTTCACAAGGATTCCAAAAAGTCCTCATTTACTATTTTACGAATTTTCTATGATTTATTATGATTTTCCCAAGTTCAGCAAATTTACTCCAAACAGGTCCTTAACGACACTATTCATTTGAGTCTACGGTTCTGCAGAAAACCCCCTGGACTTGTTTCTCTTCTCACGCGAGGTCCTCCTCTCCTTCTCTGGCTGAGCAGAGCAGAGGAGCTCGCGATTCCGGCCACTACGGTGCTCGTCGGCGGCAAAGGAGGGGTGTTGCGGCTGCGTCGGGCTCGCGCGCGCCCGCGGGAGTCCTCGGCACGGCCGGAGGTGGATCGTGGCTGCCTGGCCACGGTGATCGGTGGCTCAAGCCCGTCGGAACAGGCGGCGACGGCGCTCCGGCGACCTGAAGAGACGGCGGAGAGGTGAGGGAGGACGTACAGTCCCGCGTGCCTCCGATGGAGAGCTCTATGCAGGCGCAGGAGGGTTGTAAGAGAGGGAGCAACGGCAGCATGGGAGCTCGGCCGGCTCGGCCATGGCGGATGCGGCTCTGGTGCGGAGTGGAGCCAGGAGGAGTGAGAGGAAGCGAGTGCGGAGTGGATCTCTGGCCGGGACAGCGTGTGGCAGCGCTGTTGAACAAGCAGGGGCGCGACAGAGAGGCAGGGCACGCGGCAACAATGGAGGGCGCACTCTGTGCATGGCGGCCACGCCCTGGACACGCGCCGCCCATTGGGGCATTTTACAGAGCACATGGCGGGCAGCAAAGCGATCAGCGTGGGGCACGATTCTGGGCCGTTTGCAGGCCAAATTTGGACATGGGGCCAAAAGCAAAGTTGCAGCCCACATAATGCTCTACAATTTCTTTTTAAGGTGCAATACCATAAGGGCTATGGATTAGCAATTAACTGTGCTCCAAAGTGATAGTGTCAGCGCATTGACAGCGATGAATAAAAGTCCAAAATTGATGGTCAAAACGAAGTCCAACGAGTGCCATATTTTTATATGC